TGAGTTGAGAGGCCAGTCCCTTCCAAACACTGTGATTCCACCACCCCCTCGCTGCAGCTGGAGCTCCCTCGGGAATGCCAGGCTGTGCAGGCCTTGCCCGCAGGAGGCCTGCCAAGGCTGCCTTCGGGCACCATTCTCCCAGCCGCCTCGGCCACCCAGCTCCTTGCTCTCTGGCCACTCTCCTGAACCTGCCAGCCTCTTCCTGCTTCCCGGCCTGCGGATGCCTGCGGTCAGGAATGCTCTCCCCCCGCACGCCCCGGGGACCGTGGGTTGCTTAGGGAGGTGGCTCATGGGAAGGCCCCCCACTCCTCAAGTTTTCATAGGAAAGGTCGCTTACACTCTTCCAGTTTGTTTGCTGGCTGCTCTACCTTAGGGAGCTCTGGTCCATTTCTGTCCCCCGCTGGGGCAGCAGTTCTGGCTGGGATGGGGGTTGCCCCCCTTCTCCCCAGGGGGCTAGGGGGCAGGGCGCAGGGTGAGACAGGGTAGGATCTGTACTTCTTGCCTGCAGTTGCTGACCTCTGCTTCCACCTACTCCCAGCTCAAGAAATGCCCCCTTCCCCTGTCCCACAAACCTGGTGGCTGGAGGATGAGATGGCCCAAGACTGTGAGCCACTGGACTTGGTCCAGGCCCTGGCAGGAACCCCAGAGCCTGCACATCTGAGCGGTGGGTGGGTCCTACCCCCCTCTGGGAAGGGGTGGAGACTGGCTGCTGGCAGGAGGGGGGAGCTTATCCTATCCTGGAGCTCCCTCTAGTGTCACAAGAAGGGCCTGCAGCCTGTCATTTAGTCAGGAAGACTGGGTTTGTCTGGACCACCCTCCCTAAGCCATCTGGCCAGCTCCTGTTTCCATCTTCATCACTGGGGGGTGGGTGGGGGGTGGTGGTGTGTGTGTGTGTGTGTGTGTGTGTGTGTGTGTGTGTGTGTTGGGGAGGAGGGGGTGTCCACATCAGACTGTGTGTATGGAACATGCTTTTCTAATTTTCAACAGTGGAAGTGAGTGGGCTGCTTGTTCTTATAAGAATGTGACTGTTCCCAAAATAATAGTGATGGAGTGGGTATGGCTCCTTAGACTGTCTTATTTTTGTATTACTACAGCCTCTTGATGGCATGTGAGAACCTTAAACATCTCAAATGATAGGGATTAGTAACAAAGCCACACTAACACCTGAGAAGATTTCAGATAACTGGTGGGAGAGACTCGGGCTTCTCTGGAGGGTGACAGCTAGTAGGTCACTATGGCAGTTAATAGCCCCTCTTGATAGAATTTATCTTTTTCCTTCAAGCTTGACATTTTGAAGGGCCTACTAATTCTCTTACACGATTGAGGGCACACATCTCTTTTTTCCTCCAAACATGAACCCAAACCATCCGAATCTTCTTGCAGCCAGAGCAGAAACCCTGCCAGGCAGGTGCAGCATCGCTGGTACTGCAGACTCGGCTCTGCCTCTGCGTGGCGTCTGCTGTCCTCTTGTGGCTCAGAGCCCCAGGGGGTGGGGGTGGCAGTCCCTGTTAGGATTTGATTGTGTGGAGCTAATGATTTTTAAAGTTAAGAAAACAGACCCAAGAAATCAGAATTCAAGAACTTTTAACAACCCCCCTGTTGGGAGAGGCTTTTCCAAGCCTCTGTCTCTCTGCTGTTGGCCCTGGTGGGAATCTGCAGGAGTGTGGGTGTTTAAAAAGGATGAGCCTTCCATTTGTCTTCTGAACCTGAAGCCCTAAATTTAGCAAACAGCTTGAGGCTGCTTTCTGGAAGAGGCAAACTCCAAGATTTGACTCAGGGATAGGAACACTTTTTTTTTAATTATTATTTTTTAAAATAAAATGTCCCCAATAGTCTGAATGCTAGCAATGTAGCAGAAAGAAAACCTGGTGGGGAAGTGTTTTGTGGTCATGTCCACGGCAAATGAGAAACTGCACTCTAAAAGCCTTGGTAACGACCAACAGATGGGAACACGTTTAACCACCCTCAGCCGCGCCATTCTCTGCAAGCACAGGTTCCCGGAATAATGGAAAAGAGGACCCCTCCCCAAGTATTAGCAGACTTGGCATTTAGGGCTGGATTTTAAACCCTCAGTGACCCTCTTAGAAGACCATCAAGCTTAGATTCTGTTTCTGTGACCCCAGGGACAGCTTAGTAATGGTGCCTAGTAGGGGTTCAATAAATGTTGTTAGCATAACTTAAAATGATGAGCATTATGTGCAATTTAAAAAATATTTAAAGCATTACAGAGGTTAGATCTTGAAAAAGGCTTTGAAGGTATGTGGGAAGTATATTTTCTAAGTATGTATATTTTTTATCAAGTATCCCCTTCTTCATTTTCTCCAAGAAACACTTCTTTTCTTTTGTAATTGTCAATTTAAAAAAATTTATTTTCATTTACTGTTTATATTCAGTATTATTTTGTATTAGTTTGTACAGCACAGTGGTTAGACAATCATATACAGAGTGTTCCTCCTGATAGTTCCAGTACCCACCTGGCACCATACCTAGTTATTACATTATTATTTTTTAATTATTGATAAATTTATTAAAAGCATGTGATTACAACTTTTTTCCCCTTTTTATTGAATTTATTGTGGTGACACTAGTAAACAAATTATACAGGTTTCAGGTGTATTACACTATTATTGACTATATTTCCTATGCTATACCAGGAAATACTTTTTTCCCCCCAACGTTAGGGTTAGCTTTATTTTTTGGAAACACTTCTTGATCACCCCTACTTGCTTAACACTTAGCTTATTTTTATATAGCTGGATTTGTCCGTATTCTTTTTATATTAAATGTTTTATATAGATATCTACTTGAATATTTATTTACTTATTTTTTTAATATGTTTTTATTGATATTTAGAGAGAGGGGAAGGGAGAGAGTGTTTATAATTATTTGTTTTCTGTTTTCTTTTAATCCTCACCTGAGGATATACTTCCTTCATTTATTCTAGAGAGGGAAAAAGGAAGAGGGGGAGACATTATTGACCAGTTGCCCTCTGTAAAGTGCTCTGACCAGGGATGGAAACTTTGGTGTGTGGGATGATGCTCTAACCACTGAGCAACACTGACTATTTGTGTGTGTTCTGTTGATCGTGATCTACTCTAAGCTCCATGAGCTGAGGGTTTGTTTTCTCTTTCACTTGTGACTTTCACAGTACGGACAGCAAGTGGTATTTGTATGGGACTTGCTGCCTGACGGAACTGTTAGGGCTTCTGTTAGAGACAAAGTTTGGAAACAAACTTATTTTCACATCAATACCTAAAAATTATGAAAAAAACCTTCTGTTGTGTCCTCCTTGCTCTTTGTAACAGTTGTCTTCTTGGTTCTGTCCCAAGATAAAGCCACCAATCCTTCCAACCGCCAGGAGGACTGGGAATACATAATCGGCTTCTGTGATCAGATCAACAAAGAGCTTGAAGGGTGAGTCTCAAAGCTTTTAGGGGCAGGTGACATAGTTGAATGGGAAAGTACAGAACTGAGGCCGAGGGCTAGCCAGATGGCCTCAGGGTCAGTGTCTTGAAAATGTGGTCTGCTTATCTCCCAGGCCACAAATCGCTGTCCGACTGCTGGCCCATAAGATCCAGTCTCCGCAGGAATGGGAGGCAGTGCAGGCCCTGACGGTAGGTTTTTCATCCTGAGGGTGGATCTTCATGAGCCCAGGCCTGTTCTGTACATGTTCAGTCAGCTGTTTTACAAATGTGTGTGCCCTTGTGCCAGGCACTGAGGCTTCACAGATGACTGCACGGCTGTGAGGTCTAGTGGGAGAAGCAGAGAGGCTAAGGGAGGGAGCCAGAGGCAGGGCCCAGAGCCCAGGGTGGGGCTCAGAGAAGGCATCTTGAAGAGATGCTGACAGAGCTATCCTGCCAGTTAAGCCAACTGAAGAAAAGTAGAGGTGAGTATAATTCATTCTGTAGCAAAAAATAATGCCAGTTACTAGTGAAGTCATCACACCAAGGGACGGATCTTAGTGTTTATTCAGACTGAGGATTCAAGACGTGGAGCTCTATACAGCACTTGGGCGCCTCCAGGCTCTCCCCTAAACCTGATGAGGAGTCCCAGGGTGCTCCCTGCCTTCCTTGAGGCAGTAGAAAGGTACAGGAGAGGAAATGGTCATGGAAAGGGTGTTTAGACAGCCCACATGCATGCCTCTGTCGTGATCACCATAGACCGAAGGCCTTCAAACAGTGGTTCTCAACCAGGGTGGTTTTGCCCCCAGGGGACATTTGGTGATATATGGAGACACTTTTGGTTGTCTCATGTCAGGGGGTGCTACTGGCATCAGGTAGGTAGAGGTCAGGGATGCTGCTAAACATCCTGCAATGCACAGGACCACACCCACAATAGGGAATGACCAGCCCAAAAGGTCAGTAATTGCACAGTTGAAAGACCCTGCCTTACAAAGACAGAAGCCAAGAAAGGGATCCCTGGGTTGGCACGCTCCTTGGCATAAACTGCAGGCACAGGAAAGCTTACGGTAGTTTTATGGCCCCAGAAGGAAAATAGATGGAAGCAGAGAGGGAACATACCATGTTATCTAAAATGGAGAAAACAAAACTTGATCTCCCACCTCCCCAAAATGTCGGACAGCTTCTGGAAGAACCCTGGACCTTGAGTCAGAGAAACCTTCTCTGGGTCTCACTTTCCTCATCTGAAAACGGCAGAATCTCGCAGGAAGGCCCTTCCAACGCTGCCATTCCATCCCTCTTGGTATCCTGGTTTCTTTAGCTCCTGTTGAGCTTCCCCAGAAGCTCAACAATTTGAGGGACACAGCTGTCCCCTGGGGCTGTGCTCATAACTCTTCCTGATTACTTCCTTCCTTGCATGAATATTTATTCAGTGCCTGGCTGAGTGCAGGTCCCACCCAGACCCTCACCCTCACTCTCACCGAGCGCCTCTCCTGTGTGTGGCTACAGGTGCTGGAGGCGTGTATGAAGAACTGTGGGAGGAGGTTTCATAATGAAGTGGGAAAGTTCCGGTTTTTGAATGAGTTAATCAAAGTTGTCTCTCCAAAGGTCAGTGAGTGGCAGTTTTCTCATTTCTAGGAGCCTTCTTTGTGTTTCTCCCCCTCTCCCATCTACTGGCTTTCACTGCACAACCAGCATCCCCATGGGTCTGAATTTCTCCATGTCCTGTCCTTGGAGAACTGGGACCCGAGGGTAACAGGATGACCATACAGGCCCCAGGGACAGGCTCCCAGCCTAAATGCGATAAGTGACACGGCAGCAGCTATGTGTGTATCCAGGGAGGGCCTGCATAGCGCAGGCCTTTGGGCTCTTAGTACAGCAGCCACTTTTGTCTGGCCGATATCACCTGGATACAAGGAGCTGGTTTCCCTCATTACTCAGCTGCTCAGGTTCAGTTGCTCACTCGTGTTGCCTAAGCTCTGAGTTCCCGCTTCAGCAGAGGGAACAATTTTTATGCTAAAGACTTTGACTCCTTTAAGATAAATCACAGTTGTGTTTTTGGCAGATTGTGCATTGAAATTCAGGGCCAAGCTCCTGGCCCCTAACCACCGACTGTATTCCAGATGGATGCGGCTCTGCCACAAGCAGCGTCCTCTCCTCCCCCTCCCTTTCTCTTTCTTGCACTCTGATCCCTGCTGGTTTCCCACAGGCCTGAGGGCTCTAACTTAACTGGGACCATTTCATTGCTGTGAAGAGAGCCTTCCCATTGTCTCTGCCCCAGGCTGCAGTTACTAGTTTCCCCATTTCCTTTTGCTTCTTAGTACCTAGGGGACAGGGTGTCTGAGAAAGTGAAGACCAAGGTTATCGAGTTGCTTTATAGCTGGACATTGGCCCTGCCGGAAGAATCGAAGATCAAGGACGCCTACCACATGCTGAAGAGACAGGGTATGTGCCTGTACCACCTCGGCCTCCACCAGCCCAGAGGCCGCCAGGGCCAGGGTGGATGAGGGAGTGTCTGATGTACCCAGGCTACGGCCCTTCCTCCCTCCCGAAGACAAGGGACAGGCTTGGCTGGGGTTTGATTAGACCTGCTTGTCCCTGTCCCTGCAGGTCCTGATCACAGGGATGTGCCCCTTGCTGTGTGAGGAAGGGCAACAAGGTTGCCTCAGCTGAGCAAACACTCTGCCCTGTGTCACCTTTCAGGCATAGTGCAGTCTGACCCACTGATCCCTGTGGATAGGACACTGATCCCCTCTCCACCACCTCGTCCCAAAAACCCTGTTTTTGATGATGAGGAGAAATCCAAGGTAAAGTGCATCCAGCCGGCAGAGTCCTCAGGCGAGGCGTGGTCTCACTCGTGCTGCAGGGAGCTCCCGTTTCTCTCGGGTCTCCCAGGTGGGGTGCTACCTTTGCCTTCATCTTTGATGTCCTTCTCATCTAGCTTTTAGCCAAGTTGTTGAAAAGCAAAAACCCAGATGACCTGCAAGAGGCCAACAAGCTCATCAAGTCCATGGTGAAGGAAGTGAGTGGGCCTTGGGGTGTGGGGTGGAGGAGCCTGTGACACAAAGCAGAAGTCCTTTCCCTTGGCATTGGGCCTGCTGTTCGCCCCTGCCACCAGCCCTCTCTGAGAGGCCCGAGATGGAATAGAGGAGCAAGAGTGGATGAGGCCAAGTTTGGGGGTGGGGGGAGAGCCATTATTTTAAAAGAAAAACTAAACTGGGCCTGAATCCTGTGTTTCCCAAGCACTGTGCATTGAGAGGAGCCTCCAGGGGGCCTGGCCTCCCTCACACTCTCTGGTGTGACCCTGGCCTTGTGGGATTCTGTGGGCCGTGGGACGAGTCTGGTGGAGCCCTTTTTCCTCGATCCTCTTTGCAGGATGAGGCGCGGATCCAGAAGGTGACCAAGCGTCTGCACACTTTAGAGGAGGTTAACAACAACGTGAAGCTGCTCAGTGAGATGCTGCTCCATTACAGCAAAGAGGATTCCTCAGAGGCAGATAAAGAGCTCATGAAGGTAGTGCCCCCCCCTCCGCTGGAGAACTGGGCTCTGGGCAAGGGAGCCAGCCTTTGCTCAGCGGCTGCTCTTTTGAAGATGTTGCTCCACATCTCGGATCCCTAACTTATGAATCAACATGGCAGCTAGGTAGAGGGGGTTGGTGCCCCCTATTTTACAAGAGTGTGACTAACTCGCCCCGGGCAGAAGACTGCATGTACATGCAAATCTGTGTGACTCTGAGACCTGTTCTTGGCCTCGCCTCCTACAGAAAGGCCCCTGTGCGTCCCGAATTGTGGCATCTCAGTTCTTAATCACATAGATACTCTGAGTTCTGAGCACATGCCAGCAGGGAGGCAGGAAGGGATGAACTTCCCCTTGTCTGTCCTTGTGACTTCTCCACTTAAGCAGGTATTTGGGTGATAGTGTGGTGCAGAGTGGTGGCAGAGGACTTGTGCTCGGAGCCCAGTTCGGCCATAACTGACCATGGAGCCAGGAGAGGCTGTGGTTTTCTGGACACAAATGCTGAATTAGATGATCTCCAATAGCCTTTGTAGCTGATTTTTATATCTGGGTCTCTTTCAGGAGCTGTTTGATCGATGTGAGAATAAGAGGAGGACATTATTCAAACTAGCCAGTGAGACAGAGGACAATGATAATAGTTTGGGTGAGTGAAAAGGAAAGACTAGTTGAAACGGAAAGACTAGACAGGAATTGAATTTGTGTGTGGTGGGGGAGTTGTCATGTCCAGGAATGAGAAGTCTCTTTTCTGCTCTAGGGGACATCCTGCAGGCCAGTGACAACCTCTCCCGCGTCATCAACTCATATAAAACAATCGTTGAAGGGCAGGTCATCAATGGTGAGGTGGCCACCTCAACTATGTCTGACTCTGAAGGTAAATGTTTCAGTTCCTCATTCTGGACCCCTCCAGACCAGCCGCAGTCCCCACCAAGCCACAGGTGCACGTTGACCAGTGTGTCAGCCCACAGGGCCCAAGGGGATTCTAAGCCATTCCAAAAGGTTCTCCAGCTTTCCAGAGGCCAGGAGACCAGACAGGGCTTTCTCCACCTGCTTTCACTTTTCTGCGTACTTGGCACGAATGGCCCTTGTGTTATACCAGAGGCTGCGCTCAGGGTTTTGGCCTCCTGCTGTGTAGCCACTACAGTGGCCCCTAATTATTCCTGTCCCCTTCCATTCACTCATCCAGGAAACCTCCACTCCAGTAACCAAGGCACTCTCATCGACCTTGCAGAGTTGGACGCACCAAGCAGCTCATCCCCAGTGTTGGCCCCAGCCCCCACCCCGCCTTCCTCGGGCATCCCTATCC